TTTAGAGCATCAAAATCAATCTTTTAGAGCATCAAAATGATTCTTAACAGCATCAAATCCTTTTTAAGATCACCAAAATCCTTCTTTAGAGCATCAAATTGTTCTTTAGAGCATTAAAATCAATTTTTAGAACATAAAATCATTCTTTATGAGCATCAAAATGCTTCTTTAGAGCATCAAAATTGTTCTTTAGAGAATCAAAATCCATCTTTAGATTATCAAATTCTTCTTTAGAGCATCAAAATTCTTCTTAAGATCAGCAAAATCCTTATTTATGAGCATCAAAGTCAATCTTTAGAGCATCAAAATGATTCTTTAGAACATAAGATCCTTCTTTAGAGCATCAAATCCATCTTTAGGGCACCAAAATCCCTCTTTAGAACATCAAAATCATCCTTTAGAGCATCAAAATGATTCTTAAGAGCATCAAATCCTTGTTTAGAGCATCAAATCTTTCTTCAGAGCATCAAACCCTTCTTTATAGCATCAAATTCCTTCTTTAGAGCATCAAAATCAAACTTTAGAGCATCAAAATCCTTCTTAAAATCAGCAAAATCCTTCTTCAGAGCATCAAAATTCTTCTTTAGAGCATCAAAATCCTTTAGAGCATCAAATCCTTCTTAAGATCAGCAAAATTCTTCTTAAGAGCATCAAATTCCTTCTTTATGAGAGCATCAAAATCCATCTTTAGAGAATCAAAATCAATCTTTAGAGCATCAAAATCAATCTTTAGAACATAAAATCCTTCTTTAGAGAGTCAAATCCTTCTTCAGAGCATCAGCCCCTCTTGCTGAGCTTCCCAGGGCCCGGCCCCTGCCCGGCTCTCGCTGTCCCTGGGCTGTCTGAGGGCCTGGCTGTGCTGACAGGGACCTTTCCAGATTAAATGGTTCTGGGATTATTCTGGTTTGTGACATCCCACCTGCAGCACTGATCACACAAAGATTCCACGTCCATTTTGCTGGAAAGAAATCTGTCCCAAAAGGAATTCAGTGACCTCCAAGGCCACGACACTGCTCAGCCTCTCACACTGTGGGGAGCAGCAAAATCCTCTTTTCCACCAGGAAAAACCCCAGATTCAGAGAGGATGGATCCAATTCCAGCCATGTTTTGCACAGTTCAGCTCCTCTGCTGTGACCAAGCACAAACCAAAGTGCAGGGCCACCAACCCACCTGGAGCTGTTTGAGGGCCTGGCTGTGCTGACAGGGACCTTTCCAGATGAAACGATTCTGGGATTATTCTGGTTTGTTGAATTCCCACCTGCAGCACTGATCACACAAAGATTCCACGTCCATTTTGCTGGAAAGAAATCTGTCCCATGAGGGCACAAGAAATCTGGTGGCCTCCAAGGCCATGACACTGCTCAGCCTCTCACACTGTGGGCTGTCATTGCAGGGAGCAGCAAAATCCTCTTTTCCACCAGGAAAACCCCAGATTCAGCCAGGCTGAGTCCAACCCCAGCCATGTTCTGCACAGTTCAGCTCCTCTGCTGTGACCAAGGACAATCCAAACTGCAGGGCCACCAACCCACCTGGGCTGTCTGAGGGCCTGGCTGTGCTGACAGGGCGGTGCTGGCTCACTGATCCCAGGGATCTTTCCAGATGAAACGATTCTGGGATTATTCTGGTTTGTTGAATTCCCACCTGCAGCACTGATCACTGGGGTGAAGTTGCACACAGAGATTCCATTTTGCTGGAAAGAAATCTGTCCCAAAAGGAATTCAGTGACCTCCAAGGCCACGACACTTTGCTCAGCCTCTCACACTGTGGGCTGTCATTGCAGGGAGCAGCAAAATCCTTTTTTCCACCAGGAAAAAACCCCAGATTCAGATAGGCTGCGTCCAACTCTGGGAATGTTTGGCACAGTTCAGCTCCTCTGCTGTGACCAAGCACAAACCAAACTGCAGGGCCACCAACCCAGGGCCTTTGGTGACCTGGTGGGTGCAGTGAAATAAAATGACAACAAACAAATACAACTGGTGCTGGGTGAGAAGTCCAACGCCCAGGATCAAGGCAGGAATGGTTCTAAACACACACAACGGGCAGGGTTAGGCATTCCCTCCCTCACAACCCCTCAGGTGTCCCACGTCCCCTCAGCGGTGTCACCGAGCTCCCGTGGCTGCAAAAGGTCACAGCTTCTGTCCTGCTCTGCAGAGAAATCCGCTGTTCAAGTGACCGAATCCTTCTTCCTCCTGAAGGGGGACTTGAGCCTTTTCCAGACGCTGCTCTTGGGCCTGGATTTCCTCTCCATGGCGGCGGCGGCCTCCCGGTCCTTGCGGCGGATCTCGCGCACCAGCGCGTGGAACACGTCGTCGATGTAGTAGCGGAAGGCGGCCGAGGTCTCGAAGAAGGGGCAGCTGAACTCCCTGGCCAGGGCAGAGCCCTCCTCCTTGGACACCTGCAAAACAGCACCACTGCCTGCTCAGCGAGCCAAAACCGGGATTTATTCCTTTGCTTTTTGCTGGTTTGAGCTCCAAGCACAGATTGATTCCACCCAGACCCAAAGATTTCCAGAGCATTGATCCCACCCATGCTAAGGCAGAGCCCTCCTCCCTGGACACCTGCAAAACAGCACCACTGCCTGCTCNTTTCACCTGAAATTTAAACCTGAAATTTTCACCTGAAATTTTCACCTGAAATTTTCACCTGAAATTTAAACCTGAAATTTTCACCTGAAATTTTCCCCTGAAATTTGAACCTGAAATTTGAACCTGAAATTTTCACCTGAAATTTTTCAGAATTTTTGGTTTGTTTGAAGCCTGCAGGAATTTGGAGCAGAAATTGATAAATTTTGGATTTGGATTTGGGAATTCTGCTCCCAGCCCAGCCAAGCATTGATGGGAAGCAATTTGGGAAATTAGAAATAATTATCATTAAAATTCTAGAAATCTCATTCAAATTATACAAATTATTTTAATTAAAATGTTAAAAATTATTATCATTAAAATTATTCCTGGCTTTACAAAGAGAATCCTTGACAGCCCCAGGGTTTTCAGGAAAGGAAATTCAAAATATTTTCAAATTTTTGGTTGTTCCCAAGCAGCCAGACTGCTCTGGGATGTGAATAGAAATGCAAATAACAGATTAAAATTATTTAAAAAATTAAAATAAAGATCATTTTCAGCTTTTCTGCCCTGAAATGGGAATTTCTGAGCCAGGTTCTCCCCAGGGAGCAGCAGAAATTTGTCACCACTCTGGCACCTCCCTAAAACTTCATTTTATTTTTGCAAAGCTGATTTTTCTCATTTATTTTAATTTTAGCAAGCTGATTTTTCTCATTTATTTTATTTTTAGCAAGCTGATTTTTCTCATTTTTATTTATTTTTGACAAGTTGATTTTTCTCATTTTTATTTTATTTTTGACAAGTTGATTTTTCTCATTTATTTTATTTTTTGACAGCTGATTTTTCTCATTTTTATTTTATTTTTAGCAAGCTGATTTTTCTCGTTTATTTTATTTTTGCCAAGCTGATTTTTCTCCTTTATTTTGATTTTTTGCCAAGCTGATTTTTCTCATTTATTTTATTTTTTGACAGCTGATTTTTCTCATTTTTATTTTTGACAAGTTGATTTTTCTCATTTATTTTTAGCAAAGCTGATTTTTCTCATTTTGATTTTATTTTTGACAAGTTAATTTTTCTCATTTTTATTTTGATTTTTGGCAAGCTGATTTTTCTCATTTTTATTTGATTTTTGTCCAGCTGATTTTTCTCATTTATTTTTTACAAGCTGATTTTCCTCATTTATTTTATTTTTAGCAAAGCTGATTTTTTTCATTTTTATTTTGATTTTTGCCAAGCTGATTTTTTTCATTTATTTTGATTTTTTTGCAAGCTGATTTTTCTCATTTATTTTTAGCAAGCTGATTTTTCTCATTTATTTTTATTTTTTGCCAAGCTGATTTTTCTCATTTATTTTATTTTTGCAAAGTTGATTTTTCTCATTTTATTTTATTTTTGCCAAGCTGATTTTTCTCATTTTTATTTTGATTTTTGGCAATCTGATTTTTCTCATTTATTTTTAGCAAGCTGATTTTTCTCATCTTATTTTATTTTGCCAAGCTGATTTTTCTCATTTTTATTTTATTTTTAACAGCTGATTTTTCTCATTTTTCTTTATTTTTGCCAAGCTGATTTTTTTAATTTATTTTGATTTTTAGCAAGCTGATTTTTCTCATTTATTTTGATTTTTGCAGCTGATTTTTCTCATTTTATTTTATTTTTGCCAGCTGACTTTTCTCATTTATTTTATTTTTTGCAAGCTGATTTTTCTCATTTATTTTTTACAAGCTGATTTTTCTCATTTTTATTTTATTTTTTGACAGCTGATTTTTCTCATTTTTATTTTTGACAAGTTGATTTTTCTCACTTTTATTTATTTTTTGCAAAGCTGATTTTTCTCATTTTATTTTATTTTTAGCAAGCTGATTTTCCTCATTTATTTTTAGCAAGCTGATTTTTCTCATCTTATTTTATTTTTGGCAAGCTGATTTTTCTCATTTTTATTTTGATTTTTGCCAAGCTGATTTTTCTCATTTCTTTTTAGCAAAGCTGATTTTTCTCATTTTTATTTTATTTTTGACA